CTGGGGGGCCCAGCACAGTGACGCCACGGGGATTCAAATTAGACCTCGCCATCCCTGGGGGGCTGCGATCTGTGAAACTGTCGCCACTTTCGAGGCCTGCTGGGGGGCCCAGCACAGTGACGCCACGGGCGGACCCAAATTAGACCTCGCCATCCCTGGGGGGCTGCGATCTGTGAAACTGTCGCCACTTTCGAGGCCTGCTGGGGGGCCCAGCACAGTGACGCCACGGGCGGATTCAAATTAGACCTCGCCATCCCTGGGGGGCTGCGATCTGTGAAACTGTCGCCACTTTCGAGGCCTGCTGGGGGGCCCAGCACAGTGACGCCACGGGCGGACCCAAATTAGACCTCGCCATCCCTGGGGGGCTGCGATCTGTGAAACTGTCGCCACTTTCGAGGCCTGCTGGGGGGCCCAGCACAGTGACGCACGGGCAGATTCAAATTAGACCTCGCCATCCCTGGGGGGCTGCGATCTGTGAAACTGTCGCCACTTTCGAGGCCTGCTGGGGGGCCCAGCACAGTGACGCCACCGGATTCAAATTAGACCTCGCCATCCCTGGGGGGCTGCGATCTGTGAAACTGTCGCCACTTTCGAGGCCTGCTGGGGGGCCCAGCACAGTGACGCCACGGCGGACCCAAATTAGACCTCGCCATCCCTGGGGGGCTGCGATCTGTGAAACTGTCGCCACTTTCGAGGCCTGCTGGGGGGCCCAGCACAGTGACGCCACGCGCGGACCCAAATTAGACCTCGCCATCCCTGGGGGGCTGCGATCTGTGAAACTGTCGCCACTTTCGAGGCCTGCTGGGGGGCCCAGCACAGTGACGCCACGGCGGATTCAAATTAGACCTCGCCATCCCTGGGGGGCTGCGATCTGTGAAACTGTCGCCACTTTCGAGGCCTGCTGGGGGGCCCAGCACAGTGACGCCACGGGCGGATTCAAATTAGACCTCGCCATCCCTGGGGGGCTGCGATCTGTGAAACTGTCGCCACTTTCGAGGCCTGCTGGGGGGCCCAGCACAGTGACGCCACGGGCGGATTCAAATTAGACCTCGCCATCCCTGGGGGGCTGCGATCTGTGAAACTGTCGCCACTTTCGAGGCCTGCTGGGGGCCCAGCACAGTGACGCCACGGGCGGATTCAAATTAGACCTCGCCATCCCTGGGGGGCTGCGATCTGTGAAAGGCCTGCTGTACGAGGCCTGCTGGGGGGCCCAGCACAGTCACGGGGATTCAAATTAGACCTCGCCATCCCTGGGGGGCTGCGATCTGTGAAACTGTCGCCACTTTCGAGGCCTGCTGGGGGGCCCAGCACAGTGACGCCACGGGCGGATTCAAATTAGACCTCGCCATCCCTGGGGGGCTGCGATCTGTGAAACTGTCGCCACTTTCGAGGCCTGCTGGGGGGCCCAGCACAGTGACGCCACGGGCGGATTCAAATTAGACCTCGCCATCCCTGGGGGGCTGCGATCTGTGAAACTGTCGCCACTTTCGAGGCCTGCTGGGGGGCCCAGCACAGTGACGCCACGCGCGGATTCAAATTAGACCTCGCCATCCCTGGGGGGCTGCGATCTGTGAAACTGTCGCCACTTTCGAGGCCTGCTGGGGGGCCCAGCACAGTGACGCCACGCGCGGACCCAAATTAGACCTCGCCATCCCTGGGGGGCTGCGATCTGTGAAACTGTCGCCACTTTCGAGGCCTGCTGGGGGCCCAGCACAGTGACGCCACGGGCGGATTCAAATTAGACCTCGCCATCCCTGGGGGGCTGCGATCTGTGAAACTGTCGCCACTTTCGAGGCCTGCTGGGGGGCCCAGCACAGTGACGCCACGCGCGGATTCAAATTAGACCTCGCCATCCCTGGGGGGCTGCGATCTGTGAAACTGTCGCCACTTTCGAGGCCTGCTGGGGGGCCCAGCACAGTGACGCCACGCGCGGATTCAAATTAGACCTCGCCATCCCTGGGGGGCTGCGATCTGTGAAACTGTCGCCACTTTCGAGGCCTGCTGGGGGGCCCAGCACAGTGACGCCACGCGCGGACCCAAATTAGACCTCGCCATCCCTGGGGGGCTGCGATCTGTGAAACTGTCGCCACTTTCGAGGCCTGCTGGGGGGCCCAGCACAGTGACGCCACGGGCGGACCCAAATTAGACCTCGCCATCCCTGGGGGGCTGCGATCTGTGAAACTGTCGCCACTTTCGAGGCCTGCTGGGGGGCCCAGCACAGTGACGCCACGCGCGGACCCAAATTAGACCTCGCCATCCCTGGGGGGCTGCGATCTGTGAAACTGTCGCCACTTTCGAGGCCTGCTGGGGGGCCCAGCACAGTGACGCCACGCGCGGACCCAAATTAGACCTCGCCATCCCTGGGGGGCTGCGATCTGTGAAACTGTCGCCACTTTCGAGGCCTGCTGGGGGGCCCAGCACAGTGACGCCACGCGCGGACCCAAATTAGACCTCGCCATCCCTGGGGGGGATTCGATCTGTGAAACTGTCGCCACTTTCGAGGCCTGCTGGGGGGCCCAGCACAGTGACGCCACGCGCGGACCCAAATTAGACCTCGCCATTCCTGGGGGCTGCGATATGAGATCCCCGCTTTCGAAGTGGCTAGGGTTGCTCAGGGATTGTAACTAATCAGCTTTATCTAGCCCTTGTCCTGTAGCCAGTGTCCTGCGAGTCTCCCGAATTCCGTCTGCAGACATATGTAACCCTCGCTCCGTCACCGCCCCCCTTATAAAGTGTGCTAAACTATTTGCGCCCCGCGTTTGCGCAGGGGTTGGGTACGTCGCCAGGGTAATTTGTTTTGTCGGTTTCGATGGTTACTTCCCGCTGGAGAGCGTGACGTTCCCACACCAAAAATGTGTAGACGTCCTGGGGTCCCAGGGTCGGGTTTCTTGTGGAAGGCTTCTTGCGGTCGAGGCCCTCCTCTATCCGCAGCTACGGTGTGCTGCGCCTCCCTGGCGCGCGTGCGCTCCTGGGGTGTCCGCAGCTAGCTGGCCCGAGGCTCCGGCTCAAGCGCCAGGCGAGCTCCGCTGCTTGGGTTTTCCGAGCGCGCCGCCCGTGGGCCCCGCATCGCGGGCGGCGAGCGGCACGGGATCGGCGTCACCCCAACCATATTTCGGCGGCGAGCGAGGGGGGGAAGTAAGAAGGAGAAGGGCTTCTCAGAAGGCGGTGGGACTTCTTAGAAGCCCTCGCGCCTTCTCAGAAGTGTTTGTTGGTCTCCGGGGAAGCCTCAGAAAACTTCTCAGAAGGCCGGGGGACTTCCGAGCCTTCTGAGAAGGCCCGCCCTTTCTCACTTCCCCCCCGCGCTCGCCGCCAAATATTGAGACCTGCGCACTGTTCATTTCTAAGTCGTCGGCAGCTCCTTGATTTTTTGGGGGGGCCAAGATCCTCTCATCTCTGATTCTTCTGTCCTGGGCCTCTTCCTGGCCACCAGGGGGCCGGGAACAGTGAGGAACGAGCACGATCAGAAATGAGCGACGTGCACTACTACGCCGTTGCAAAAGTTCGTCACTTGTTGTGGGAGTGCCAAGATGATGCAGGCTTCGCCGGTTGCTGCCGCACGAGCGGGCGGGCGAAGGCTGGCCCCTGTCCCGGCCGCGCCGAGCTGCCCCCCTTTCCCCCCGAGAATCCCAGCGGGCTGGGCCAGGCGCGGTCGGATCAAAGATCCGGGACTTCTGAACCCGGGACTTCTCTCGGTTATGATAAAGGCTCTGATCGAGTGGTATGGTTTATTTTATTCCTCTGATCAGGGGTAGTACATATATTTTAAACGGGGTATTCCAAAATCCCGACGTCGAAGCACACGATGTTTGAAATCCCACCAGGCGGGATCCTCCCCTGCCAACGCAGGATGATTACATCTCAATTCGTGACGAAACTTTTGTACCGCTGGTGTAGGTGTACGTCGACCCCCCCTGGGGCGACGCGCGCACCGAGAGATCTTGTAGTATATGCGTCATTGCGGGCGCTTTGTGACCATACCGCTCGGGAAACGATATGCTACAATATGCACGTACTACATGTTCGGGTCGGACGCGTGCCTCCTGGGAGGACATGTCGTACTGGTCTGTCCCTGTGCATCCCACAGGAGCTGCATGAGCGCGTCCGAGGGCAAGAAGGCGAAAGACGGTCGGCTAGAATGGGTGCTCTCGCGGTTGGCCACGCTTCTGGGATTGGGCTGGACGAGCCCTGAGATCTGGGCGTTGCACTTTTGTCCACACTGGGAGTGTTCGCCGGGTCCCGGGCCCGAGGGCCCTCACGAGTCCATCGGGCTCCAAACTTGCCGCCGACAGATGGGGCCCAGGGCTCTGGTCGCGACTTTTGCGATGCTGCATTTCTGTTCGCGACGTCGGATCTGAGGGCAGGGGCGGGGTTGGAAAAGGGGGGTCACACGCCATCTGCTGTCTTCCGCCGGTTTCGGCCCCGCCGCCCGGCGGGTGTTCCTCGATGCGGTGCTGCCGCGAGGCGCCACGGAGTCCAGCTACGAAGGAGGTGATCTGCTAGTCCACCCTCTGTTGTCGCCCCCACTTGAACGAAGGATTGCAAAAAAACCCTTCGTTTATTTTTGCAATCCTTCGTTTTTTGCAATCCTTCGTTTTTTTGCAATCCTTCGTTTTTGTTGCAATCCTTCGTTTTTTTGCTATCCTTCGTTTTTTTGCAATCCGTCGTCCGTCCTCGCAGGAGTCCGGGCAGAGAAGCTGGACAAGTTCACGTCGGGGTTCGGCGCCGACGAGGGCTCCGTGCGGGCCGTGAACAAGTTCCTCGACGAGCCCGAGGCCGCGTTCTGCTTCTTCTACCCGTCGTCGGAGTCCGTCACCGCCAATGCGATGGACATGCCGACGATGGCCCAGATGAAGAAGAAGATCATAGTGATGCATCGCAAGAGGCCCGAGATCGAGATCACGAGAGAGGGGATCTCGAAGAGCGTGGTCGTGTTCGAGCTCGCCAAGAACGTGGTAGACATTATGGGGACATACTGCCAGTCTGTATACCTCTCGACGCTGATGAATCCGGCCAATCAGCGCGGCTGGTCTGACCTCGTCGCGAAAGACCTGATGGACAAATACCACATGTTCCTTGCCAACCTTCACGTGACCGTAGGCCTGATGAAAGGGCACACGTGGCTGCCTCTGCCGCCGCGGGACTCGCTGCCGTCCACCAGTGCCCCCGCAGTTGCGGGCGGTCTTGGGCACAAGGACCGGGTGCATGTGCTCGAGGGCGCGGTGATCACCTGGACCAAGCAGATCCGCCACGTGCTGAAGCAGGATCCGGAGCTGCTCCTGCGGGAGGGCAAGCACCTCGAGCCGAACACGGAGTTGCAGTTCTGGAAAAGCAAGGCCTCCAACCTGAATTCCATCCACTCGCAGCTTGGCATGGACGCGCTGAAGAAGGTGCTCAAGTTTTTAGAGACCCACAAGAGCACATACATAATGCCATTCATGCGTCTCCAAAAGGAGGTGGAGGAGGCCCGGGAAGAGGCGAACGACAATGTTCGCTTCCTGGCGACGCTGACGAAAGGCATAGACGGTCTCATGTCAGAGTCCGCAGATTTCGAACAGTTGGACAAGCAGTTCGAGGGCGTTCTGCACAACATCCTCCTCATCTGGCGCTACTCGAAGTTCTACAACACACCCACCAGGCTCGCTGTACTGATCCGGGAGATCTGCAATACGGTGATCAATCAGGCCAGACGGTACATCAGTGGGGAGGAGGTGTTCGCCAAGATCGCTGCGGAGGAGACAGCGGAGTGTTACGAGAAGCTGGACAAGACGCTCGAGGTCTGCACTGGCTTCAAGGACAGATACGTTCTGTACCGCGACATTGCGGCGGCACAGGAGACCGAGGGATGGAAGATGAAGAACGACGCCCTCTTCGTGCGATTGGACGCCTTCAGGGAAAGGTGCCGTGATATTCTGGAGTTCACCCGCACGGTCATGCAGTTCTCGAAGCTAGAGCGAGTGGAAATAGGAGGCACGAAGGGTAAGACCTTGACCGACTGCATCGTCGCCATCAAGGAGGAGTTCGACGTAGTGGTCGAGGAGTTCAAGTCTGTCAGCTACGACATCATGGACGTGGGCGAGCAGCGCTTCGACGAGGACTTCTTCAAGTTCCGCACGTCAGTGCGCGAGCTGGACCGGCGGCTCGGCAGCCTGCTTGGATCCGCGTTCGCCGACCTGGACACGGTCACGCTGCGCGTGAAGCTCTTCGACAATTTCGAGGGCCTGCTCGAGCGGCAGATCATCCAGCAGGAGCTGGAGAAGAGGCACCGCGCGCTGCTGCTTCAGTACAGGGCTGACCTCTCGGAGGTGGAGTCGGCATTCATCCGGGACAGGCCCGGCGTGGACTATTTCGCGCACGGCTCCCCCACCTTCCTGAACGTCCCACCCACTGCCGGGGCAATCTACTGGGCTCGCAGCTCCCGCAGCCGCATATGTGATCCTCACCCGAAGCTGGTGCTGTACAACCAGGTCGTCCGAGAGACTCCAGAAGAGTTCTGGGAGATTGACAAGCACTATGCCAGTTTGGTCAAGATGCTAGAGGACTACGAGAATGAGCGCTACACCGGCTGGAAGGAGGCGTGTGTCGAGCCTACGAAGGAGAAGTTGAAGATGCGTCTGTTGCGCAGGGTAGAGAAAACAGGGTTGCTTAAGGTCAATTTCGACCCTATGATGGTGAGCATGCTTCGTGAGATCCGGTTCTTCCTCATATTTGATATCCCAGTTCCCGAGGAGGCCATCAAGATTTACGAGCGGGCATCGGTCTACCGACAGTGGGTGGCACAGTTGGACAATATTGTACGCTTGTACAATGCAGTGCTCACCGAGTTGCTCCCCGTCGAGGAGCCCTTGCTTGAGGATCGCATCGTCAAGATGGACGCTGCCCTTTCCCCTGGCCTGACAGAACTGAAGTGGCGGAGCGAAGACAAAATTCCGGAGTTCATCGAGAGCGCCATGAAGGTCGTCAGCGACGTCTCCAGCGTCGTGGCCGTCATGAAGGGCAATCTCCGATGCATCTCCAACGTTTTATCCTCGTGGTGCAGGGAGCCGATCATAGAACGTAAGAAGGGTGCCAAGCCGGTGCCCATGGAGGAGTTCGAGGCCAAGCACAAGGAGCGCGTGGGCGCGAGGATGATGGCGATGAACGAAGGTGGCAAGGAGATCCACAAGTTTCTCAAGGACACGAGCGACGCGCTCAAGGTCTCAAAGGTGTCCGCGATCTGGAAGTCGTACGTGGAGTTTGTGAACAACATGGTAATAGAAGGCTTCGTATCATCCATCGGGGTATCCCTGCAGTTTCTCTGCGAAATGCTTGACCCTCTGCACATGCAGCGGAACGAGATGTTGCCGCTCTTCGACGTGAAGGTGGAACTCAGGAACAGGGAGATCACATTCGATCCGCCGTTCCAGAGCGTCGATCGTTCCGCTCCTTCACTGCGGAAGACGATCGACTGTTGGATCCGTGATTTCTTAGGCACGGTCGTTTGCATGTTCCGCCTCGACGTTGGCGTCGGCGACTACCTGAACGAAATTCGGGAGCATTTCCAGGTGCAGACGCTGTTGGCTCTGGTCTCGGAGCTTATCGACAGCACGGAGCTTAGGTGTTTGGAGTACAGGGAGACATTCATGCAGCACAAATTTCTGTGGGAAGAGTCGATGGACAAAACGTTCGAGCACTTTCTGTCGCAGGATGCGCACGACCTCGTGGAGGGCTTCATGGAGGAGGGCATGGACTTCCGGACCATCATGAACCGCATCAAGGTGGACATCGGCCGGCCGATTCCGAGAACGGTGGCGTTCGACAAGAAGATCGAGTTCTTCGTGGGCATGAAGCACGACCTCTCAAACCTCGTGACCCCCGTGGACATCCACTGGCTGCGCATCAATGCGCAGCCGGTGAAGGTCGCCATGGTGGCACGCGCCAAGGATCAGGAGGGGAAACAACAGACGCAATTCATCGTGGATCCCTCGGAGAAATTGGAAAACATGAAGACAAGTGGGGGGGGGACGACGAACAGCCCCCAACATGTAAGAGCACAGGGGGATCCTGGGAGTTGAATGCATTGATTTGTGTGTCCCTGGGCCCCTCCAAAGGAGTGGGAGCAGAAGTACGTGGACTACATCCGCACATTCACGGAGGAGCGCATCCGCGCGCTGGTGGACTACGTCGAGAAGCTGCGGGTGGGGCTCGGTCCCCCCTCCCCGGTGGTCGGAGCCGGAAAAGGTGACCGCACGGCTACTCTTACGTCGGGCCTGGTGACCACACCGTGCGGTGAGTCGGTGGGGATTCGAGGTCACCGCACGGTTTTGGGACTCGGGTGGTTCTCCGAGGACTTCTCGGGCGACTGGAGCATCCGAGGTCCCAAAACCGTGCGTTGACGGACCGTGTGGTGAGGTCTTGGGGGATTTCGAGGTCACCGCACGGTCTGTCACCGCACAGCTTCGAGACTCAAAAGCTACCCGTCGCCCATTTTCCTTTTGTTCGGCATCTTGGGAGGCCCTCGTCGCCACCGCTGAATTCCCTTCGAAATCCTGGTCAGAACGCATCCCTGGAGAGGTCCGGGGAGTAGCGGTATCGGTACCTTTTGGTGTCCCCAGGTGGACGAGCCGGAGAACGAGCGGCTGCTCTACGCGGTGATGACGCACATCCGCGACGTGAAGCTGTCTACGGCCGCCATCCCGAAGCTCTTCGCGCCCATCCGGACACTCTGCCAGCTCCTGAAGAAGCACCAGGTCGTGCACGATGGTCTGCCTGAGCTGGAGCACGCGCCATCGAAGTGGGACGAAGTTATCCGCCTTGCTTTTGACGAGAAGGAGAAGATCCTACCGCTGCGCAACGAGGAGAGCATCAAGATCAGAAATAAGATCGATGCTTTCGGGGAGCAGGTGGCTGAGTTCCGCAAGGAGTTCCAGGTACAATGCCCTTTTGACGAAGTGAACGCTGTAAGCGGCGAGTATGACCTCAGCTACCAAACCATCAACGAGTACTACCGCAAAACGCTGCAAATACGGGAGCAGGCGGAGGACTACAATGATCTTGAGCTGCTTTTCGATATGGCCATGTCCAACTACCGAGACCTGAAAGAGTGCATCGACGAGCTGGTGCTGCTCAAGGGGCTCTGGGACGGCGTCGTGCTGGTGCAGACCACGTTCCTCAGCTGGGACTGCATCCTGTGGGACAAGATCGACACCGGGGCGCTCGTGCAGCAGGTGCGGGACCTGCAGAACCAGGTCAAGGTCATGCCCAAGGGCGTGCGCGGCTGGAAGCTCTACCGGTGGCTGACGGCGGAGGTCAAGAACATGGCCACCGTGCTGCCCCTGGTGGACGAGCTGCACGGCGAGACCATGCGGGAGAGGCACTGGACCAGCCTGATGACGGTGACGAAGACCACGTTCGAGAAGGGGCCGGAGTTCAATTTCAAGAACCTGCTGGACCTCAGCCTTCACAAGTTCGCCGACGAGGTATCCGAGATAGTGGACCAGTCGATGAAGGAGGCAAAGATCGAGAAGAAGCTCAACATCATCCGCAACGTGTGGTCCAAGATGACGGTCACGTTCGACCTGAGTAATCCAGAGTGCCCGCTGCTCGGCGACTTGAGCGAGGTGCTCGAGAGGTTGGACGGTGACTCCCTTGAGATGATGGGCATGACCTCGCAGGGGCGGTTCATAGAGTTCTGCAAGTCGGTCGTTGACGAGTGGAGCGGGAAGTTGAGGAACGTAGACGCAACGCTGTCCGTCTGGCAGAAGGTGCAGTCCAATTGGTGCCGCCTAGAGCCTATTTTCATGCAGAGCGCCGACATCCGGTCGCAGCTGCCGGAAGACGCCAAGCGCTTTGAGTCGATGGACAACGGATGGCGGGACCTCATGTTGGACGCCTCTTCGCAGACCTCCTTTATCGTCGAACTTTGCTGCGTCGAGGGTCGCGAGGATGCCTTGCAACGCATCAGCGAGGGCATAGACGATTGCGAGAAAGCCCTGAACGAGTACCTGGAGCAGAAAAAGAAGATATTCCCTCGCTTCTACTTCTGCTCGAACCAAGCCTTGTTGGACATTCTGTCCAATGGAAACAAGCCGCTCAAGGTGGCGGAGTATCTTGGCGATATTTTCGACGGCGTCAAAACATTAGATTTCTCCAAGGATCCAGACACTGGCCGAGTGGGCGCTGGTATCATATCAAAGGATGGCGAGCAGGTGCCATTCGTAGAAGACGTCGTTCTGGAAGGTGCCGTTGAAAACTACCTCGTCAAGCTGGAGGAGCACCTGCGCGTCCAGCTGCGGGAGGTCCTGGAGACCGCGCGCGTCACCGCAGACAACTGGGAGCACGAGAAGTCCAGGGAGTTCTGGCTGGAGGACTATTGCGCCCAGCTCGCCCTCGTGGCCACGCAGATCGTGTGGACGGAAGAAACCGTGCGCGCGTTCGAGGAGATGGAGGGCGGCAGCGAGACCGCCATGAAGGAGTACAAAAAGATCTGCGACGAGCGGATCGAAAAGCTGATCAAGCGCGTGCAGACGCCACTTTCCAGGGAGACTCGCACAAAGATCATCACCGTAATCACCATCGACGTGCATTCCAGAGACATCATCGAGGCCTTCGTAGTGCATAAGATCACGGACCCCACAGATTTCAAGTGGCTGTCCCAGTTGCGCTTCTACTGGGGCCACATGACTGGCGACTCGCAGGGCCTCGTCTCGTACACCTCCGACGAGAAGAAGACGTGCATCATCCGTATCTGCGATTGGGTGACCATCTATTGCTACGAGTATGTCGGCAACTGCGGCCGCCTCGTCATCACCCCACTGACGGACCGCTGCTACATCACACTGACGCAGGCGCTCAACCTCACCCTCGGGGGTGCCCCAGCTGGCCCAGCCGGTACGGGCAAGACAGAGACGACAAAGGACCTCTGCCGCGCCATAGGTCTCCAGATCGTCGTCTTCAACTGCAGCGACCAGATGACCTACCAGACCATGGGTCAGATCTTCATGGGCATCGCGCAGACCGGTTGTTGGGGTTGTTTCGATGAGTTTAACCGCATCGCGATCGAGGTGCTTTCTGTGATATCCACGCAGTACAAAACCATCCTGGATGCCATCCGGCAGGATGTGTCAATGTTCATGTTCATGGATGAGGAGATCAGGCTCATCAAGACCTGCGGTGCTTTCATTACAATGAACCCTGGCTACGCGGGGCGGACAGAGCTGCCAGAGAATTTGAAAGCCCTCTTCCGGTCCATGGCCATGATCGTGCCAGACTTGGCCTTCATCTGCGAGAACATGCTGATGTCCGAGGGTTTCATCAAGGCCCGCCCGTTGGCGAACAAATTCGTGCAGCTGTACGCGCTCTGCAAGGAGCTGCTGTCGAAGCAGATGCACTACGATTGGGGCCTGCGTGCTGTGAAGTCACTGTTGCGGCAGGCTGGGGCGCTGAAGCGGAAGGAGCCAGAGTCGGACGAGAATCCAGTGTTGTGCCGTGCGCTGCGCGATTTCAACACCCCGAAGATCACCACGCTTGACATGCCCATCTTCCTGCGCCTGATCCAGGTCAGGCTGGCCAGGAAGCAATAGGTCGCTCCAGAGCGCTCGGGAATGCGATCCGTGCCTTCAGGAGCGCTCTGGAATGGCCGCGACGCCAGGTGCTTCCTCTGGACCCACTGGCTCTCAGAGACTCCGAATGATCTTTTCCCTGTTTTACCTCCTGCCTGCCGTCGTCTTCACAGGACTTGTTCCCCGGCATCTGGCCTAAGCAGTTCGAGGACCCAGAGTTCGAGAAGGTGGTCAGCGTTGTCGCCAAGGAGCGTGGGCTGCAGGCCGACCCGCAGTTCATCATCAAGACGGTCAGCATGATTGGGATTCTGGAAGTGCGCCACTGCATGTTTATCATCGGCCCGACCGGTTGTGGAAAGACAGAAGTGTGGAAAACGCTCATGGAAGCCCAGAAGAAAATCGGCAAAGACGGCATGTGGGAGCAGGCCAACCCCAAGGGTGTCACGTCTGATGAGCTATATGGCACAATGTCTAAGACGAAGGAGTGGAAGGATGGCCTCATCGCAGTCATCATGCGGAACATGAGTAAAGAGGTAAACGGTTACAAGCCTTCCCATGTCAACAAATGGGTCATTTTGGATGGTGATATCGATGCCACATGGATCGAGTCCATGAACACGGTCATGGACGACAACAAGGTCTTGACTTTGGTTAGCAACGAGCGCATCCCGTTCACGCCCTCAATGCGGATGATCCTTGAGATTCAGGACATGAAGCATGCCAGTCCGGCTACCGTCTCACGCGGCGGGGTCCTTTTCATCAACGAGACCGACATCGGCTGGAAGCCATACATGGAGAGCTGGCGCGAGAGAATGGACCAGATTCCCCAGAGTGCTTTCTACCTGTTGTTTGCGAATTATTTCGAGGCCAACATCGAGTCCATTCGCAAGCAGTTCGCTTTTACTTGCCCGATGATGGATATGGGTTTCGTGCAGTCCCTCACGATGTTCGTGGACGCTGCGCTGGAGAGCGTGGAGAATTCGAAAGAAGTGGCAGACGCATTCAAGGCGATGGCCCAGGAGGAGCAGAAGTTGTGCTACGATGCCATCTTCGCTTACGCAATGATGTGGACAGTCGGTGGCTGCGTCGCTGACGACAAGCAGGTCAATTACCGCAAGGTCTTCAATGCTTACATGCGCAGCATCTGCAAAGGGATCAAGTTCCCCGACGGCGGCGAGTGCTTCGACTACAGGTTTGAGCCCAAATTGAAGGAATGGGTTTCCTGGCAGGAGTACGTGATTGAGTACAACCCTGTGGCCGAGAAAATGTACCAGAACATTGTAATCAGCAATATGGAGCTGGAACAGAGGAAGTACATCCTCGACCTCCACATCAAGCAGCAGAAGCCAGCACTGTTCGTCGGCGTCGCCGGCACTGCCAAGACCACGATAGTGAAGGACTACCTCGCCGACCTCAAGGCGAAGACGGACAACTACGTGAGCATGGCCATTAACAACAACAACTACACGACATCGTTCGCCCTCCAGGCCATCATCATGAGCGCCCTGGACAAGCGGTCGGGTCGCACCTTCGGGCCGCCAGGCAATAAGAAGTGCGTCTTCTTCATTGACGATCTCAACATGCCATATGTGGACCAGTACGACACGCAGTCTGCCATCATGCTCGCGACGCAAATGCTTGCCTACAAGCAGGTGTACGACAGGGACAAGCTTGAAGAAAAGAAAGATTCGTCAGACTGTCGCCACATCTGCCGTCCCAATGCATGTTTTATGCGTTGGCGATTGCGGCTGGCCTTATGCAGGCGCCGATTGCAGTACATCACAATCGCCTGAAGGTGAGGCGGACTGGGGCGGCGATGAGCATGAGGTAAGGGAGGGAGAGGAAAGGAACAAGGACAAGGGGGAGGCGGGGAAGGATGAGAGAGAGAGAGAAAGAGGGACGAGAGAGGCAAAGAAAGATAAACAGATAGACCGAGACAGATCGCAGCACTCCGGGCCGCGTGTCAGCCCAGGTAACCGGGCTGCGAGCGTCTGGCAGGCCGTCCTCGCACTCGCGGGAGGCGCCGCATATGTGACAGGGGTGTTGGGCCTACCTCCCCCCCCGCGCGGTCAGAGGGACCCCGTCTGGAAGATCAGGCAGGCGGCGTGGGCCCGTCGGCGGCCCCCGTGGCGAACAAGGGGGGCGCCAGGTCGTAGCACGCTCTGGCCTGCCGGCCTCGGCGGCCGTGGGGATGGAGATGCGCCGCCGTGGGGCGTCCCCCACAGCGCCCCCGGGAGAGCGGACGACGGTTCGGTCACCACCTGCGCGCGCGGTCCGCGGGAAGGGAGAGAGTCAGGGGCAACGATAGGGGGGAATATGCACAGGGGGGAAGCGCATCGACCCCGAATCGCCCGTTGATCGCCGATAGGGGTCTGATATCCCCAACCCGCACAGGAAGGGGCCTACCGCCGATATATCGGCGACGTATCGCCGATTCCAGGTCGATGTATCCCCCCCTATGCCAGTCTCCCCCTATCGTTGCCCCCAGAGAGGGGGCTAGCATTGAGTCGAGCATGTGCCTCCACAGGAGGAGTATGCAAAAACATGCAGTCAATAGTCTGGTGGCGATTTTCCTACTATGTTTGATTATTTGTGACTGTTCTGGACTATTTTCATTTTTCTTCCAGAACCCGCCTGTAGGAGGACATGCCCGACCTAACGCTATCACTGCTGTGCCGCCCCTTGAACGTCGAAGAAGGCATAAACGTCGGCAGGGAGGTTTGCCCAAAAAACGACTGCGGGCTGGAAGGCCTAATGCAGGCCGCTCCAGGCTCTTCTGCGCTCTGCGGAAGCTGCCGATCAGCGGAACCGATTTTTGTTTGTAACTGCTGGAGGTGGTGCTCCAGCTGGTTGACTCGATGATTGAGCGATGGTATCCTGGCGGCGGGAGGGGCCTCGCGATTCCGCTGCTGCTGGCCATTCGTCGCCGTGAGGTGTTGCGTGAGGTTTTGCTTGCGGTCCGTGGGCTGGGCGGTCCCGCTGGCCTGGCGGCCGTGCCCCGAGACTCGCGGCCGTCCGCGTCGGAGCCTTGGTGGGCCGAGTGGGAGGGCTGGCTGCCGAAGGCGTGGTTGGTGGCCATCGTGTTCTGACGCCTCCTTCTCCTCCTCCTCCTCCTCCTCCACCTCCTCCTCCTCCTCCTTCACCTCCTCCTCCTCCACCTCCTCCTCCTCCTCATCCTCCTCCTCCTCCTCCTACTCCTCCTCCTCCTCCTCCTCCTCCTATCCTCCTCCTCCTCCTCCTCCTCCTCCTCCTCCTCCTCCTCCTCCTCCTCCTCCTCCTCCTCCTCCTCCCCCTTGGCGCTAGCCGACTTCAACAGGTTGGTCCACGGCTGTGTTGTCATGGTCAAAGGGGCGACCGCGTGAGGAGAAGTCTGTGTCTTCGTCGTTGATGAGAGAAGCTCCAAACCCGAGCGACTCGAAGCCATTACCTTCGAAATTTTCCGTGGGTTGGGACCAAGCGTCGTCAAGTTCGTCGACATGGTCGGGTGCGGACCTGGCGGCCCGTCCATGGCCAGTGGTCCTGACTGTGCGCATGGGCTTTGCCGTCTCCCCCCCTGACTGATGGTGAGCGGGTTTGGCGCCATCTTGGAGAGCTCCGACCGCTCTTCTACTGGGGGGCGGTAGCGTACGGTGTCGCAGGTCGTCAATGGTGACGGCCACGGTGTGCACGACATCGGCGAACTTGCGGCGCCAGTTGGCAGCGTCGGCAACGCTTTGTGGGATGTTGTGGAGCCTCGCTCGTGAGGTGGCGAGTTCAGCACCATGCCGCTCAAGATCGTCGGCAATCGGAGTGATGCGCCCATCGTTGACGGCTTGCTCCCCCACGTGCTCTCCCCACTGTTACTCGGTTTCCATCATGTCGGGCTTCGCTTGGGCACCCGGCGCAAGTTCTGCCATCGGCTTGCGCCCCGCACGTCGTCGTGTAGTCGATTCGAAGAAAAAACGAATCCGTCGACGAGCGCATGTTTGTCGACGAAGACGCGTAATGGCCTTTCGGCCGTGGCGACCAGATGAGCATGGTGGGGGGCCTGCTCGTTGCGCGAATTGTGCTGGAAAGAGTACGCGGGCGAAATGGGCCACATGGCTCTGTGCTCATCGATGTACTCTTGATAGGATTTTTCATATGGCCCCCTTTGGTGGGACCTGGTCTTCAGCCAAGGCATCCTGCAGGTCGAGCAGGGTGGGGTCTTCCTCCAGGATGCCAGTGGCTGGTGCGCGGTGGGAGTTCATGCCGGCACTGCACGGTGATTATGGTTTTGAAGGCCGTCTGTTGGTCCCCCTTCCCAGCACGAACATCCCAACGCTGCGTGCTGTTGCGTTTCTTCTTCTTGGTTGCTCCATCTGCACACGGGACACGGGCCAGCCGAGATGCTAGTCTTGACATTCCTCCGTGCGTGGGCACGCCCGCAGAGGCAGTTACAGAGGAGGCCGAGTTATCTGGCAGTGCATTTGGCTTTGCCTCTGGTTCCTAGGAGCCACGCATCAGCAAAGTAGTCAATGCCTTGCTTGACGGCGGCGACGGCCCTGAGAGCATGTCGTGTGGTTGGGGTGCGTCGGAGGAAGGATCCCTGTCGCGCGGTCCTGAGCACGCGCCCGAAGAGACCAGTTGGCTCGCGAACCCACGAACGACGGGCGCCCCAGTCGTCGCGCACGGCGGCGATCTCGGGCCATGGCCAGTCGAGTTGGACAATGGTTTGCCAAACTCTGCCAAGAGTCCGTACCGCTGGAAAGATTGCACGCTATTGTGTAGCACGTCGGCTTTGGGGTTGAGCCTCGGCGTCTCTCTTTGCGCCTGCCTTCTGAGCCTCATCGGCGCCCCCCTTGGAGCGATGGCACCGAGTCCGAGAGCGCGGCCCGGCACAGCCACGGCGCAGCGGGCCCAGCGTGAAATCCAGGATCGCAGGTTGGGTCTGATGGCAGCGAAAGCAGCGCTGTTACACGGGTGGCTGACCCTCTCACTGGGCGCCTGGATGTCGGCTCCCGCGGCGCACGTGCTACGTCGCGAAAGGCCCGGCCGAACCCGCTCTCGCCCGCGTGCCTTTGGGGGCGCCCGCTGCGCGGGAGTCTTCCGATTGAATTTTCGGCCGCGGCCTCGAGGTTGGCGCTAGGCGCGACGACGTCAGGGGCAAGTCGACGTGCCCCATCGACATCGTCACCAGATGGTGTGATTTGAGCGGGTACTCGTTCAGGTGGAGGGCCGCAATGTTGCGCGTGAGTTCTTTTCCCAGGGCGCGCCGACGACTTGCCCGGGTGGGTTCTCTGCCCAGCCATCTTGTCGAACAGCGATGTCTGGTCGAGAGAGGCCCGCGCGTCGCTTTCCGCGGGGGCCGTGGAGTTGTCGCCATCAGCGCACGCGGCGTTGACCGACCGCGGCGTGCACTTTTGCGGCCGCTGGGCCCTGCGAGGGGGGGCTGCCCGTGAGATGACCGATGGTTCCCCCGCGCGGATGCGTCGGCAGCGGCCGTCGCATAAATGACGCCTCGCCTGCGCGACGCGGGCAGACAGCGCGGGAGGTCAGCCTGTGACCGCTGTCGGCGACGAAGCAACCAAAGCATTCACACGCGCGCAGTGCCGCGCGCGCCAGCGGGATTTCAAGGCGCGCCGCGCGCTCCACTTGGCGGGCAAGCGCGGCGCTGACATCGCGGATGGCAGCGCGGGCGGCCCCAAATTTTACGGGGCGTGTCGAGCGAGTTCTACTAGGCGCCAGGCCGGTAATCTGGCGCTTCCCAGGCGTGCGCCCAGATGAGGGCAGTCTCCGGTCCGCGGGGAGGTCGCCTTCCCCGCGCGCCAGGATTTGCGGCGCTAGGAAGCGGGTCGAGCACGTCACCCGCCCGGCGCATTGCTCGTGGCCGTCTGGCGAAGAGGCGCAGCTTTTGGTTGTCCATCCGTTGAGACCTCCCGCTCTCGCGGCTGGTCTCGCCCATATGGAATGCATGAGGTCGTCGTCTGCGAGGCTGGAAGGCTCGGCTGGCGGTCGCCCAGGGAGTTCCCGGTGGCGCTCCGCATTGGAATCCTCCAATGCGGGCGCGATCTCGTCGCGTCGCCCCGCCGCGGCACGGCGCCCGCCCACGGCGGGCCTCCGCGCATCGCTCGCGAGTCTGATCGCGGCGCTGGCGCCCGCCAGGATTGGATCGGCGCGGCGGCCGCTGTCGCTGTCGCCAGCGGAGTCTCCTGGCTCGGCGGCGGAGCCGGCACCCTGCGTTGGCGAGGCCCCGCCGCGGCCTGGTCTGCCGCGGGCGCCGGGCGACGCGCGCGGGGGGCCATTGAGGGGCGCGCGAAGGTATACAGCGTCGGGGCCATCAGCAGCGCGACCCGCTGGGTCGCGGCCAAGCCCCCGCCCTGTGCTCGCGCGCGGCCGTTCCAAGCCTTGGCGCGGGGATTTCGGTCGGCGGGCGAGAGGCATCTCAGCCGAGCAGCTGCGGAAGCGGAAGGTTATCCAGCCCGCGGAAGCCAGGATTTCGACGCGCCCCCAAACGCGTGGGATTTCCATGAAACGGGGGGGGTCGGCCCTCGCAGCGAGCGCGTTGGCGGCCGCCCGGGCGCGCTTGGCGCCTGCTCGGGGGGCCGGGCGGTCGGCGCCACGGTCGACCGCGCGCTTCTGGCTTGCAGCCAGGCCCTTCTTCGTGGATCTCAAGGTTTGGGGGGGTTGTTCCACGTCGGTCACCTCTCGGCTGGCGGCCCAGATAGACCGAAGGCTGGCCACGCCTGGCGGCGGACTTGTTTTGCTCTAGCGGCGCGCTCCCGGGGCGGAGCTCGGCGTCGTGCCCATGCGCCGCCATTGCTGCGGGGCCGGAATGCCCGTCGACATCATAGTCCGCATCGTCCGCGCCCGCTCTTGCGCGGCAGGCTTGCTCGACGCTGCCCCCGAGAGCACGTTACTCGTCGCTGTCCATAGCAGGGTGGGCGAGCGGGTAAGCCACGGCCGCTTTGAGTCTCATCGCCACTTGGCGGGGAGTTCACGGCGCAAGGAAAAGTTGGTGACCAGCTGATTGCCTGTGGCGCTGGCGGGTACATGGTCGATTCGAATCCTTCATGTCCCTGGTGTTCTTCGGCCCCAGTCAAGGCCTTGCCCACGGGCGTCAGATTTGTCGCCAGGAACTTCCACGGCCGCGCGCGACCACCCCAGCTTGGCGATCCGAGCGAGGACGGCAAAATCTTTGATGTACTTCCAGTAGGGCACATATCCCACCCTGCTGGCGGCCCCCCAACGCCGATGGAAGAGCGCTGCGTTGCCCGCCCCTGGATTGGCGCAGACAAACGCCGCGGCAGCACATCAGTTTAGGCCTTTTCGGCCTTGCCCACGCTTCTTCCGACGCCTGGTGGCGTTTGGGAATGGCGTGTGCTAGCGGGCTTTTGTCCATCGCGTGGTCGCGAGGAGAGCCGGCGCAGTGGGGTCGTTTCTGGTGGTGTCGACGAGGGCGCTTTATGCGGCGATGCCCTTGTGCGGCGGTGCGTGCCCCGTCGCGCTTAGCCGCGGTGGATCGGACCTTGTGGCCAGTCGCGCTTCCGTGACCTTTCCGCCGGACGTAGTCGCCCGCGGGGTTCCGCCCCCAGACGGGTCGCCAGTTCTTGTTGTTTGGCGATCGTGCGCGCCCATTGCAGGCATGACTGCGGTCGGCAGGATGCTGGGTCTCCTGCAGGGCAATGGTTGTGGCTCCAAATTGCTCGCGGAGTTCAGTGAAGATGCTCCAGTTCGCTTCGAGACTTGTGACGCTACCACTAGCGAGGCGGGCTACTTGCGGGCCTTTCATGTTCCGTCCGCGGAGCAATGGCTCCTCTAGTGGGTCGGCTCCCAAGGTGTCTAACCGCGACCGCGCGCCCCCTGGCGGGCCGCGAAAATTTCGCTTCTGGGGGATGAGCATAGCTTCCCGCGTAAAAGCCCTAAACCCGGCGGCGGCGGCGGCCAGGCGGAGGACGAAAGGGTCGAACCGTCGTCGGCGGCCGGCCGAGCGGCGGCAGCGGCGGCAGTCGACGCGACAGAGGGAGGGGAGGCCGCCGTCGTTGTCGTCACCAAACTCGGGGCCGCCACTCCTGCGTGGCGGGCGCGGCACGTCCCGCGCTAGGGCCCGCGTCATGGTTGGCCTCGCTGTCCGTCTTGTCCCTCGCGTCGGGGTCGCGCTCGGGCGCCTCGGCGTTTCGGTGTCGGTCGATTCCAGGTTTACCTGAATTGGGCCCTTTGCGCCCGCGGGTGCGACCGCAATGGCGTCTGCGTCGCAGTTCGCGGCGCCGATCCAGACGACGTTGTCCGCTGGGTCAACGGTCGCTCGGACGACTGTCTGGGTGCACTTTTTACTTCCCCCCGTCCTGGCTGGTAGATGGCCCCTTGGCTGCGCCCCAGCGCAGGCTTGGTGACCTTGGCCGTTTGGCGGCGCACTGGGATTTGACAGAATCGTCCCGGGTAGTCTGTGCTGATGGGTTCCATGACGGCAAGCGCTAGAGCTGGCGTGTGAATATGTTTTAGTAAGCGGTCGCCTTTCTGCAGCGCGTGGGGCGAGATGCTGTTGGCGCACGACGCCCCGTCGCGCATCGGCGTCTACCGCGGCTCCTTCTGGCGGAGGTTCACACTCGGAGGCCCTGTTTGCAGATGAGGGCGCAGTGCAGCACGGTGTAGCTGATTATGTGTTTGTCCCGCGCAGTCTCATTCGCTCGCTCCTGAGCCTGCGTCGGTCGGGGCAGCAATGCCGGTGAATGATGTGGGTATCGGCGTTATGCTTATGAGCGCGTTCGTTGTATGCAGCGATTGCCCGGTCAAGGCCACCATTGCTTTGGAGGGCGGCGGCGCGGGCTCCCCTCCAACTAAGGTAGGTGTTTACCTCTGCTCATCTGTGAAGGGCGCCTTCTGGCGCCTCGAAACTGGCTTGGGTTGCCGCGGCGCGCGGGACGCACGGCGAGGGCCTTGTGGAGCCAGAGCGCGCGCGGAACCGAAGGGATTCGGCGCCAATCTATCAGGATAGAAAATCACAAGACTGTTCGCCGCTTGGGCCCCACCGCCAGCCCTGACGGCCAGCATAAATCGGGCGTAGCCCCGCATGCATTCGAATGCCCGCACTTCGTTCTCGTACTACTCGTATTCCTCCCCGTCCTCCTCCCCATCCTGGTCGTCGTCGTCGTCCTCCCCCTCCTCCTCCTCGTCCTCCTCATCCTCCTCGTCTTCCTCGTATTCCTCCTACTCTAGCTCATTCTCGTCGTCCTCGTCTAGGACCTCGTCGTTTATTATGTTCCTCCTGTTTTTCCTCCTTCTCCTGGCACCTCGGTGGCCGAGAATAAAACCGTCTCCGATGGGTTGTGCCATCGGTTGCGCATTCGGCGGCCGAGAAAAATATCCGTTTCCGATCGGTTTCGCCATAGGTTGCGCCCTCGGCGGCCGAGAATAAAACCGTCTCCAGTCGGTTGCGCCATCTGTTGCGCCCTCGGCGGCCGAGAGTAAAACCGCCTTCGATCGGTTTCGCCATAGGTTGCGCCGTCGGCGGCCGAAAATAGAACCATCTCCTATCGGTTGCGCCATAGGTTGCGCTCTCGGCGGCCGAAAGTAGAACCGTCTCATATCGGTTGCGCCATATGTTGACCCCTCGGCGGCTGATAATAGAACCATATCCTATCGGTTGCACCATAGGTTGTGCTTTCGGCGGCGGAGAATACAACTGTAACCTATCGGTTGCGCCATCGGTTGCGCCCTCGGTGGCCGAGAATAAAGCCGTCTCCGATCGGTTTCGCCATAGGTTGCGCCCTCGGTGGTCGAGAATACAACTGTCACCTACCGGTTTCGCCATCGGTTGCACCTTTGGCGGCCGATGATACAACCGTCGCGTAACGGTTGCGACCAGTCTGTTCAGTTCAGTCTAGCTCAGGTCAGTTTAGTTCAGTTCATGTCAGTCCAGTTCAGCTCAGTCAGAATACCTCGCGGGAAAAAAATCTGGGCTACACCCGACGAACACACACAGACACAAAGAACCGTCGACGTTCAGGAAATAAGGGAAAGCATGGGAAGTGGGGGAAGACGGAAATCCATAATATATATATATATATATATATATATATATATATATATATATATATATATATCGCAGGCAGGGAGGGGCCGCGTCCGGCCCCGCGATGCCAGACAAGGTTGCGGAGGAGGAGGAGGAGGATCGGTCGTCCTCCTAGGGTGCACGTGTGTGAACAAGCTGGGTCATCTTGCAGGCCTCTTCGGCCCCGCGGGCTGCTACGGCGGCGCCGTGTGGCCCTCTGTGGCCTTAAGCAGGGCCTGTCCCTCTACAGGGGGAAGCTTCAAAAATAGACAGACAATAGTCTGGGGACGCCTTCTGTAGTTATAAAAAACCAGATCGAAGTATGTTTCTGTATCTTTTATTGTTCGCCCACAATCCCCCTGTAGGGGGACACGCCCGACCTGAGGCTACACGTCAGGGTGACCTTTCGCCAGAGTGACCTGGGGTGCGGGTCCACTGCGATCCTCCGACCATTGCATGCGGTCCCATAGCACTGCGCGCTTGGACGTTCCCCCCGCGCCCCCCCAAAGCTGCGCACTCGAGGCCCCTATTGCCCAGGGTCGCTCTTGCGTGTAGCCGAGTTCTGTGCGTTTTTGTCCGATGACCTGTGACTGGTGCCCTAGAGTGTCCCTGCGGCGCTGCTTTGTGGAGGAGGAGGGCGGAGGGACAAGGAGGAGGAGGAAGAGGAGGAGGAGGAGGAGGAGGAAGAGGAGGAGGAGGAGGAGGAGGAGGAGGAAGAGGAGGAGGAGGAGGAGGAGTACCCTGCGGCGGTGCCTTGTGTTCGGTGCCCTGGGGTTAGTGCCATGTGGCGCCTTCAAATCTGCGCGTACGGGCGCCGCGAGTAGCCTGGGGCGGTCTCAATCGGCCACGCGCAGAGGGGGGCAGGAGGAGGCGGAAGGCTTCCTGGAAGCGCCCCTGCTTCTCAGAAGGCGCGGGCCCTGCCCGCAGACGTGGGGCCGGCGGCTTCTGAGAACCAGCACCTGTCTAAGAAGCAGTCCCCCCTCCCCCTGCCCACTTGCGCGCGCCGCCAACTCGACACGTCAACCCCTGGGGCGCGGAGCGCCCCTGGGGCGCCGCCGCAGGCGGCGCCCCAGGGTGATGAGACCGCCCAGGACTCTTCGGGGGTCCTGCTGAGGCCAGCCGGGACTACCTGGGAGGGCCGTCCGTGCCCCGCCCGAAGCTTGATCAACGCCCCTCGTGTGTGTGTGGGGGTGCGCCGCACCCCGCTCGTCCGAGCGGCCCCGGCTCGCCTCCTCTCCCTTCCTCGGCCGTCGCCCCGCCGTCCTCTTTCTCTCCTCCTGCGTGGTGGCACCATTGGCTCACAAAGTCTGCCCCGTTTCGCTCCGCTCGCCAGCGCAGCCACTCTGCCTGGCCGCCGACGAAAAAAGTGGGTCGCCCGTCCGTTCTACGCCGCGCCGCTGCGTGCGGGGCCTCGACGCCAAAAAGTGTTTGTGTGTGGGTCGGTGGGGGGGAAGGGTCTCAAAGTTGTAGGCCCACAGGGTCGGCGGACTTGGTAGACATGCTCTTCTGCGCATGCATGAACCCGAAGGCCGGTTCCTTCATGGTCAACGCCCGCCTCCAGCGCCGCTTCACTGTGCTGACCACCTACATGCCCACCTCTTCTGTTATCAGCGGCATCTACGCAACAATTCTGGAGAAGCATCTGGCCGGATTCAACCCAGGGGTGCAGAGGCTGTGTGAACCCATCGTCCAGGCCACCATTGATGTGTTGATTGGCCCCGCGGGTATCTTGAACAATCCGAGTTTTTTGCCATCGGCTTCCAAGTTTCACTACCAATTCAACTTGAAGGACGTGGCCAACATCTTCCAGGGATTGCTGAACACCTCTGCTGGCATCTACAAGGGCCCTGTCCAGTTTTTACGGGTGTGGCTGCACGAGTGTTATCGCGTCTTCGGCGACAGGCTGATCAACGCGGCCGACGCAGCGGAGTTGCAGCAGATCCTAGACAAGGTCGCAACGAAGGCGTTCACCAGCGTCTCCAAAGAGGAGCTCTTCTCGCAGCCGCTGATCTTCACCTCCTTCATGACCCAGGCGGGGGGGAACGAGCGCATGTACGTGACGGTGAAGGACACAGCGTCGCTCAAGAAGGTCGTGGAGGAGAAGCTGAACGAGTACAACGAGACATATGCGGCCATGAACCTAGTGCTGTTCGGCGATGCCCTCGGACACGTCTGCCGCATCTGCCGCATCACCGACAACCCGTGTGGCAACGCGCTGCTCGTCGGCGTGGGCGGCTCGGGAAAGCAGTCACTGGCCAGGCTGGCGAGCTTCCTCAATGGCCAGGACATCTTGCGGATCTTGGTCAACCAGAGCTATGGAACGGGGGACCTCAAGGCGGACCTGCAGGAGTTCTACAAGAAAGCGGCAGTAAAACCTGGTACCCCTCATGCGTTCTTGATGACCGATGGTCAGATCGCGGACGAGCGCTTCCTCGTGTTCATTAACGACATGCTCTCAAGCGGCAACATCCCAGATCTCTTCGCCCGCGAGGAGTACGACGCCATCTTCGGCTCGGTCCGCAACCTGGCGAAGGCGCAGGGGTATAGCGACGACCGCGAGGGCCTCTTCGCTTTCTTCATCGACAAGGTGCGCAAGAACCTGCATTTTATCCTCTGCCATTCTCCGGTCGGCGACACATTCCGGATACGCGGTAGGAAGTTCCCTGCGCTGATAAGTTGCACAGTGGTTGACGAATTCATGCCGTGGCCCCGCGACGCTTTGGAGGGAGTCGCCCAACGCTTCTTGGTTGAGCTCTACCAGGAGGGCAACGTTCGAGACGAGGCGATGGTGGATGGACTCGCGGGGGGCATGGCGGAGACACATTTGTCGATCGACCAGGCCAACAAGGAACTCCTGCAAACGGAGCGCCGCTTCAACTACACGACGCCGAAGTCGTTCCTGGAGTTGGTGAGTTTCTACATCAGAATGCTCACCAACAAACAGCGAACCGTGAACAACGACGTTGAGCGACTGGAGCGCGGACTGATGATCATGGAGCAGGTACAGGCCAAGGTGCAGGGCCTCAAGGAGGACCTGAAGATCACCATGGTGCAGGTGGATGAGAAGAAGAAGGCCACCGCCATCCTTATCGAGCAGGTTACTGAAGCCTCCACTCTGGCTGCGCACGAGAAGGAGATCGCAGACTCCGAGGAGGCGAAGACCTCGGCGCTTGCCGCAGAGGCGGCCGCTTTGCAGGCCGAGGCGGACGGCGAGCTGACCGAGGCGATGCCAGCGATGGAGGCAGCGAAGGAGGCAGTGAACTGCTTGGACAAGAATTCCATAGGTGAGCTCAAGGGTTTCGGCAGACCGCCTCCCGAGTGTGTGGACGTGTGTGCCGCGTGCGCGTTCCTCCTGAAGAACGAGAAGAAGAAGATCGAGTGGAAGACGGCGCAGAAGATGATGGCGAACCCGAACGCCTTCATTGACGAGGTGAGGGACTTCAACGCCAACGTCATCCCAGAGCAGACACTCAAGAACACGGATGAACTCCTCGCGCTGCCTTATTTCAATTACGAAACGATGAAGACCAAGAGCGTCGCAGCAGCGAACTTGGCGAATTGGGTCATCAACTGCGTGAAGTACCACAAGATCTACGTGAAGGTTGCCCCGTTGATGGAGAAGGTCCAGACCTCCACCGAGACCAAGGTACAGGCGGAGGCCGACCTCGCGGTCGTCAAGCAGCGCGTGGCAGAGATCGAGGCGGACTGCGCGAAGCTCGACGAGAAGCTCCAGGGCGCCATCTCGGAGAAGGAGCGGGTGGAGGCGCAGGCCGCCCGGTGCCTCGAGAAGCTGGAGCTCGCGGAGCGGCTGGTCAACGGCCTCGCGGACGAGTACCAGCGCTGGACGGAGACCGTCAAGGACCTGAAGGAGCTCGGGGTCAAGCTCATAGGGAACTGCCTCCTGGCGTCCGCCTTCGTGGGCTACATCTCGCCCTTCTCCATGGCCATCCGCAGCCACCTGTGGAGGGAGCACTGGACCAAGGACATCCTGGGCCGTGGGATCCCGATGACGGACTCGATCGACCCCATGAAAATCCTCGCGACGGAGGCCGACGTCGCCGGCTGGTCGAACGAGGGCCTGCCCTCCGACCGCATCTCCATCGAGAACGCCGCGGTGGTCACGAGCTGCTCGAGGTGGCCGCTGATGATCGACCCTCAGCTGCAGGGGGTGAAGTGGATCAAGCAGCGCATCGGGGAGGACCTCACCATCCTGCAGTTCACCATGAACAACTGGCTGCAGAAGGTGATCTTCAGCATCCAGATGGGGGGCCAGCTGCTCCTGGAGGCGGTGGGGGCCGAGATCGACGCCATCCTGGAGCCGGTGCTGTCCCGGGCGGTGGTCCGGCGCGGGCGCTCCGCCATGATCATCAAGATCGGCGGGGAGGAATCAGGAGGGAAAACAACACACAGACACAATTAATCTTCGATCCCCTTCAAAATATGGGAAAATATGGGAAGTGGGGGGGAAGACAAAAACCCAGAAAATATAGGAAAACATGGGGCAGCCTGTTATTTGTGTGTATTTATCTGTGTGCCCTGGGGCCCCTTCAAGGAAGTGGACTACGACCCGAAGTTCCAGTTGTACCTGCAGTCCAAGCTCCCCAACCCCCACTACAGGCCGGAGATCGCGGCCCAGTGCACCATCATCAATTTTATTGTCACTCCTGACGGCCTGGAAGATCAGATCCTGGCAATGGTCGTCAACGTCGAGAAGCCGGAGCTGGAGCAGCAGAAGCAGGCGCTGGTGCGCAGGCAGAACGAGTTCAAGGTCACCCTTGCGCAGCTGGAGGACGACCTCCTGTCGCAACTGTCCGCGGCCGACCCAGCCACCATCCTCGACAATATCCACCTGATCGAGGGGCTGGAGAAGACGAAGCAGACCTCGAAGGAGATAGCCGTCCAGGTGCGCCAGGCCCAGGTGACGGAGGGGGAGATCAACGCCTCGCGGGAGCTGTACCGGCCTGTGGCCGCCGAGGGGTCCATGCTGTTCTTCCTCATCATCCAGCTTTGCTTCATCGAGCACATGTACCAGTACTCGCTGGATTCGTTCGTGACGTTCCTGTACAAGGCCATCGACCGCACCCAGGCTTGTGAGGACGTGTCTGAGCGCGTAGGGAAGCTCATCGCCTCCATCCGAATGGTAATCTTCCGTTGGGTGAATCGTGGTCTGTTCGAGGAGCACAAGCTGATTTTCTGTGCAATGCTCACATTCAAGCTTTTCCAGCTAGGGCATCTAGCAGAAAAGTGCAATTCCGCTTTGATGAACTACCTGATACGTGCTCCTGGTGCGATCGGCGTGGAAAATCCATTGGCGGACTGGCTTCCGAGCAAAAACTGGGGCATGGTGCTGAAGATGTCGGAGCTGGAAGGCTTCGAGAATTTCTCCACGAACATGGAGAAGGACGCACCCACTCGCTTCCGGGAGTGGTTCAACGAGCACAGCCCGGAGGAAGCGAAGCTCCCCTTGGACTGGAAGAAGTTGGACGCTCACCCGTTCCAGAAGCTGCTGGTTCTGCGGGCCCTCCGTCCCGATAGGCTCTGGAGGGGAAACAACATACATACACAACGTATCGTCGATTCCCCAGAAAATATTGGAAAATATGGGAAGTGGGGGGGGTAGACAAAAACCCAGAAAATATTAACAAATATGTGGAATCCTGTTATTTGTGTGTATTTATCTGGGTGTCCTTGGGCCCCTTCATAGGCTTACGATCGCGCTCGGCGGCTGGATCCGAAACGCGCTCCCCAACGGTCGCGACTACATGGACTGCGACGGCTCGTCCTCCTTCCAGCAGATCCTCACGTCTTCCTTCGAGGATTCGACGAGCGCCACCCCGATCTTCTTCATTCTCTCGCCTGGCGCCGACCCTGTGAAGGAGGTGGAGGCGATGGGTCGCGCGCAGATCAAACTGCAGCTCGGAGTGAATTACCACAACGTCGCCATGGGACAGGGGCAGGACGTAGTGGCGATGGCCAAGATGGACATCGGGCATCGGGATGGCCACTGGGTGATGCTCCAGAACGTCCATTTGATGCCGAAGTGGTGCGTAGAGTTGGAGAAGAAGCTTGACGCTTTCGCCATCGAGAACAGCCATCCAAGCTTCCGCGTCATCTTGTCCGCTGACCCTTCGAAAGGCATCCCCATCGGGATCCTCGAACGATCGATCAAGCTGACCAACGAGCCGCCGCAGGGGATGCTCGCAAACCTTAGGCGGTCCTTTGCCCTGTTCAGCCGGGAGGACTTCGAGGACAAGGACCAGAAGGTACGGTCCATCTTCTTCGCGCTCGTGCATTTCCACTCGTTGATGCTCGAGCGCAAGAAGTTCGGACCAATGGGCTACAACATGAAGTACCCGTTCTCCTCCGGCGACCTGCGCGATTCCGCCCAGGTGCTCTACAATTACCTGGAGGGCTCCTCCGCGGTGAAGCTCCCTTGGGACGACCTCCGGTACATCTTCGGGGAGATCATGTACGGTGGTCACATCGTCGACGATTGGGACCGCAGGATGTGCCAGAAGTACCTGCTGTACTTCATGCGCGACGAGCTGCTCGACGAGATCGACATGATCCCGTATGCGGAGGGCCGGCTGTCGTGGATGTCCCCTCAGGCGGGTCCGCACGACAAGTACTTGGAGCACATCGAGACCATGCCGACCGAGTCGCCGCTCTTCTTCGGCATGCACCCGAATGCCGAGATCTTAGGCTTAAGTCGGGCCTGTCCCTCTACAGGAGTGATATTCAAAAATAGTCGAACAATTAGTCTGGGGACAACTTTTCAATATGTTTTGAAATTGTTTGGGGCATTTTGGGTGTATGTTTTGATTTTGTGCCCAAGCTTCGCCTGTAGGGGGACATGCCCGACCTAATCTTAGGTTTACGTCGAGCATGTCGCTCTACAGGAGGAATATCCCAAAATAGTCTAACAATAGTCTGGGGACTCTTTTTCAGTTATGTTTGACTCTGCTTCGGGATGTTTAAGGTATTTTGAAATTGTTCTTCCAATAGCCCCCTGTAGGAGGATATGCCCGACCTAATCTTGGGTGAGGTTGATCACGCTGGAGGGTTTCCGGCCCCGAATTCAGGATCGGCATTGTTTTACCCGTTTTGAGGTCCGCTTTCTGTTCCATGGTGGGATTCTCGTCCGCGCCGTTTTCGTTTCGGTTCCGTTTTTAGAGCTGCAGATACGTGTTATGTTCTGGGTTGCCGTTGTTTTGTCGCGTTTGAACGAGAGCCGAATAGTTACAGACGGGGGAAGATGCCCCCGCGTTTTCGGCGTCAACTATTGTAGGAGCCCGACCACAAGAAACCTCCCACAAGCAACCCAACCCTGAGACCCCAGGACGTCCCTCGAGTCTTGGTGTGCGAGCGTCACGGTTCCCATCGCAAAACCGTGGAAATCCAAGAAGCCCAGGGCACCCTGGAGGCAGGCAGGGTGTCTCTTGGCATGGGCCCCCACTGTAGGCTGTCCCATTAACCATGAAGCGCACGGAGACCCTACGTGAGAACCCACAACGCCTCAGGAGAGACACCAAACAACCGAACGCGTTGAAAGGGATAGGGCTTTGGTTGCTGCTGTTTCTGTGGTCCTTCGGCCTGTAAGGCCGAGATCAACTTCCGCACGGCCCAGTGCGACAAGACCTTCGACATGCTCCTCACCCTGGGCCCCGGCAGCGGCGGCGACGGGGACGAGGACCCGAGCCAGAGCCCGATGGCCCTCGCCGAGGCTCGGGGCAACGTCAGACTCGAGCAGGCCAGAGCTCAGGTTGGCCCACGTTTTTTGACGAGCGCGGCCTGGAGTTAAGTCGGGCTTGTCGCTCTACAGGGGGGGGATATTCAAGAATAGTCAAAAAATCATATGGGGGCTATTGTTTTAGTATTCTGCTGGACTATTTTGGAACATTTTTCGCATGTTTTTTTGTCGTAAATCCCCCTGTAGGGGGACACGCCCGACGTAAGTCCAGTTTTCGTGGGATGTGTGCAGCGGAAGCTCGCTTCAAATTCCAGATTGGGTCTCAACATTTTCATGATGGCCCCGTCAGGCCAACCCGAGTCCCCCGTGCCCGAGTCTTGCGTCTCCCCGAGAGGCGACCTGCGGGGAGATCCTGGAGGAGGTGCTGGAGAAGAAGTTCGCCACCGACGACATCAGCAGCTCGATGACTGAGGACCGAGGTTTTCGAGGGAGGGGTCGGTGCAGGTCCAGGGCTCATGTGACTCCTCCGCCTCGCCTCGGTTCCATGTCGATGGATTCCGCTTGTGATGCGGTTCGATTCGTTTTCGGATTTCTGTCTGGGCTACGCGGTCTCTCTCAATGGGGGCCTTCCTAGCCTGCCGATTTCCGCCGATTCGACGTCTCCCGACTTGGCTGCCGATTTCCTCCGCTCCGCTCCATTTCGATCGCCGATCCGACTTCTCGATTCCATGCTGGGCCCTCCCGTGGGGGGAGGGTGCAGCGGCGCGGAGCGCGCCGAGTCTGGCGGCCAGCGGGCCCACTGGCGGCAGCGCGGTGGGGCCGGGGCCTGCTTAGTGCACGTGCTGGAGAAGGGGGGGGGGGCTCCCAGCTGCCCCAGAAAACGGGGGGGCTGGGAGGGCAAAGGCGAGGCCACGAAAACTGCCACGTAGAACTGCCTGTCGGCTCTGACGGGTTCGGCAGCAAGTCATGGGAGCCTGGTACACCCCCTCAATCCCGTCATCAGCGTCGGCTAGCGTCGATTCGCGTCTGGGAGTCGATGAGGTAGCGCCTCGATAAGCGTAGATTCAGCGTCGATTGGCGTCGATTCGCAAGAGCCGACAAGATGGTATGCGAGCGCAGCTGCCCTGATACGCCCGTTTTGAAACGCAACGCGTGCCGTGTTCAAAACGTCCGTGTTAACACGCTTCGTGTTAGCTTTGGCCCACGCTGTTGGCCCATAACATGTTAACGCTTCGTGTTCAAAACGTGTTGGCCCACGCTTTGGCGAACGCATCGCGTCAGACCTGCGTTTCCAGCGTACGTGTTGAACTCCGCATTGCTACGCTGCGTGTTGCGTGCTGCGTACCGGGGCAGCCAAGTGTGGGAGGCTCCCGTGAGTTGCCACCGGAGAAGGCGAGGACACGAAAATCAATGCTGCACATAGAGCGACATGCTGGCTCCGGCGGGAGAGCACCATGAGGGCGCCCGGCGCCGCGAGGTGCCTTGGTTCGTGAATTGAAAAATTTGTTTTGGGTTCAAAAAAACAAGTTTGTGTATTCACAAAACTGGTTTTGAACTCAAAGTCAGTTTTTGAATTCAAAACCCAGTTTGAGTTCAAAAACCAAATTGGGATTCAAAAACCAACTTTGTAAATTCAGAAGCCACTTACAGCTGATGTTCGACACCCCCCGTTTGCCCACCGCCCTTGTCGCCCCCCGCGAGGAGGAGAAGGGGCCCTACCAGTACGTGTTCCTCCAGGAGTGCGACTACATGAACGGCCTCGTGCACGAGATGGTCCGCGGCCTCCAGGAGCTGCAGCTCGGCTTCAAGGGCGAGCTGACCATGAGCGAGCAAATGGAGGAGCTCGCAGACGCCCTGTGGAAGGAGATGGGGCAGCCAAAAACATCATACACACAAACTCTCGGACGTCCGCGCAGATGTCTCGGGTCGGCGCTGGATCCCCTTCCCACACGCCCCTGGTGACGCCTCCCGGCGCCGTCCCCAGTCTGCTGCGCGTGCTAGGCAACGGGTGTGGATGGTGAGGGGGGCCCCAGCGCTGACCCAAGAGAGCCGCTCGGACCTGCGCCGATTCATGTTCGTCTGGTGCGCTGCTCCCCCAGGAGAAGCTCCCGACGTGGTGGGTGAAGCTCGGTTTTCCGTCGACGCGGCCGCTCAAGTCTTGGCGGGTCAACCTGCAGGACAGGTGCGTCCAGCTCGACGACTGGGTCAACGAGCCGCTGACCATCCCGAAGGTGGTGGACCTGTCCCGGCTCTTCAACCCGCAGAGTTTCCTGACGGCGATCAAACAGATTTGTTGCCAGCAGCAGGGCCTCGAGCTGGACCGCCTCCAGGTGTTTACAGAGGTTCAGAAGAAGGAAGCCAAGGACGTGGAGGCCCACTCGAGGGAGGGAGCCTTCGTGACAGGCATGTTCCTCGAAGGCGCACGCTGGGACACCACGTCGATGTCCCTCGAAGACTCCAAGCCAAAAGAGATGTTCACCAAGATGCCCGTGATCAATTGCAAAGCGGCCATGGCGCAGGACAAGAGCGACAAGAACACGTACATCTGCCCCACGTATTGCGTCCCCACTCGGCGGCCTTACTTTGTCTTCTCCGCGCAGCTACGCACGAAGACGTCGCACCCAGACAAGTGGACGCTCGCGGGCGTTGCGATGATCCTCGACATCGGCGGCGTGTGAGGGCTCCCTGAGATCAGCCACGCGCAGAGGGGGGTTGGGGGGAGGGGGAGGGCTTCTCAGGAGCACCTCTGCGTCTTCCAAGGCGCGTGCCTTATCGATAGATGTAAGGCCCCGCGCCTTCTAAGAAGCAGCCTGCCTCCAAGAGGCCTTCCCCCCTCCCGCCACCTCCCTCTGCGCGCGGCCAGTGAGAGCAGAAGGCGGAGTCGCAAAGGCGAGTGTCGCCTCACGCACTCGCTGACGCCTCAGCGTCTCCGCTTTCTTTTCCTCTAGCCTTCTTCCTCTCCTCCTCTCCCTGGCGCCCTCCTCCTTCCCAACTTCCTCCTTATCCTCCCCCCCCCCGCCCGCCAGAGCTCCCGACCCAGTTGTGCCGGTTGATCTCCGAATCACGTAGATCCGTGATGGTCCATGAGCGTGTCACCGAACAACAAAACGCCTGTCTGGACTTTTCCACGACGCCGGATGGGAGGATCTTCTTCCGCCTTAAGACCCCAGAAGCACCCGCAAGCCACTGGACGTCATCGGAAGCACCCAACAGTCTCCGAAGCTATGTGAAAGCCCTGGAGACTTGCGAGGCCCTCCGAAGACTTTCGAAGGCTCTAAAAATACGCAGGAAGCGAAGGCAACAACCAGAGGAGGAGGAGAAGGAGGAGGAGGAGGGAAAGAAGCAAGAGGAGGACCTGCTCCTCCTCCTCTTCCTCCTCATCCTCCTCATCCCCCTCTTCCTCGAAATATCGGCCCCTGGACGTGTCCCGAAGCGCGGCCTGGCCAGGATCTAGGGGCGAAGCCGACCGCGGCGGCGACGGCCCACGAGTAGGCCCGCGGCCTGAGAAGCAGTAAACTCCGCCGTGCTGGCGTGAGGTCAGGCAGGTCCTCCTACAGGCGGATTTGGGGGGAGGAATAGAAAATCGCTAAACCATGTTCAGAAAGAGTCCAAGAAGTATTTCGGGCTTCTCAGTAAGCGTGAGGGGGTACCCCCCGACGGGGGTCAACCTCACCTCGTCGTCGCGCCGCGACCGGGGTCGGATCGCCTTCGGCGCGCGGTGGCTGCCCGCGACGAGGGTTGATGTGGGGCTGTCGGCGGGGTTGACGCCCCCCCGACGCTTATTAAGTAATTCGGAGAAGCCGAAAAGTCGTTTCCGGATTATTCTTTTACCATTCTGGAATCTTCTTCTTGTAGATGGACATGCCCGACTTGATGCTTGCGCGTGGCACCCGAAGCCGGCGTTAAAGATGCGCTTGTCAAGCGAAGCGCCCTTGCACGCTTCGGTACTAGGCATCCATCCAAAGATTTCGGATTCCTCGGTCTGAGGCTGCCATGGCGTCTTGGTGCCACCTAGACGCCTTGAGTCTTGAATCGCCATCCTTCCTGGCTGGGCTCGGCTGTATCAGGAAGCTGGGTGCACATGACGCGGCAGGCCTGGGCAAGAGCCGGATACACACGTGGCCAGATGTCTTCCCAGGACTCGACTCCCAGTGGAGCGGGGCTCTCAGACTCGTGGGCGGGTCAGTTCCCGGAAGGTCTTGACGACTCGATCACCGATCGTGGCGATGTTTCACCGATATGCCTGCGAGGATCAAGCCGGACACCCCGAGGCAGAGGCACACAAGCCCGAGCAGCTCCGGGCAGATCCAGGCGAAGGCAAGGATCTCCAGAGAATCTGAATTCATCGTGGCTGCTCCAGCGCAAGGAGGGGGACAGAAGAAGTTGTTGAGGCTCCCATCAGCGACGCGCAGAGGGGGGAAGGGGGGGAGGGGGGAGGGCGTCTTAGGAGCACCCCTGCTTCTTGGAAGGAGCGGGCCTCATCTATAGATGTAAGGCCGGCGCCTTCTAAGAAGCAGCCCCAGCGCGAGGACAGGGGGGGACGGCAGAAGTCGTTGAGGCTCCCACCGGCAAGACGTGCTCGTGGCGCAGGCGGCCCGCGCCGCGGAGCCCCACGCTCTCCCGCGCAGCGCCAAGCGGTGCCACTGCGCCCCCCAGGGTTCAATCGGGCCTGTCCCTCCACAGGGGGAATCTTTCAAGGTAGTAGAAAAATAGTCTGGGACGAGTTTGTTGAGCATTTGGTTCTACTTGTTTTGATCTTTTTTATTTTTCGTCCAAAATACGCCTGTAGGGGGACAGACCCGACCTAACCCCAGGGCCTCCCAGAAGGAACAGCTCAGAGGAGGAAGAGGTGCCCATACCTCTACCCTTTCCTTGTTTTTTCCCTTTTTGGGCCTCCTCGGAGGCTCTTGTCAACGCTGGATTCGCCTCGAAACTCTGGTCCGAACGCACCCCGGAAGATGTCTGGGGAGCCGCGGTATCGGTACCTTGTGGTATCGGTATCGGTATGCTTGAAGATGTTTGGACCATTTCCCATCTTCCAAAATCGGCCTGCAGGGGGGACATGCCCGACCTAACCCCAGAGTCTTCCAGAACCTCCCGCGGCCTGAGGCATCCAGGCTCCTAGATGGGGTCGGAGCAGATGGGGTCGAATGATCGCGCCGCATCGTCCGCGTATCCGCGATGCTGCTCGATGTGGGGCCTGATTTGCTTCACGTCGACATCGCCGATACATCGCCGACGTCGGCGATGCGTCGCCAATGCATCGCCGATGCATCGCCGATGCATCGTCGATGTATCGGCGATGCGGCGCGATCCTCCGACCGCATCTTCTCGGACCCCATCTGAGGTCAAGTCGGGCCTGTCCCTCTACAGGAGGAATCTTCCAGAATGGGCAGAAAATAGTCTGGGGACGATTTGGTGACTATTTCTGAACATTTGGGGGGGCATTTCTGGACTACGTTTCATGTTCAGCCCAGAATCCCCCTGTAGGGGGGCACCGAAGTCTACACACGCGCCTTCCCTCGCGGAGGCCCCGTCGCGGCCGGCAGCTCCGCTGCCCTGGGTCGAGGCATCGGCCACCCCCCTCCCTTCATAGAGCGCGTTCCACTACTCGCAAAAGTGCCTGCTCGCAGACTTCCGATCCAGGCCGCATCTGTGAGCAGTTCCGTTGCTAGGGGAGCAAAAAGTCACATGAACATAAAAACGCGGATCTCCCGCCTTCCTCGTCCTTGTTGCGGCGATGTCCGGGGCCTTGCCGTGCAGCGGGCTGTTCTGTGCATCCGTACGCGTGTGCGGGCGATGACGCGGGAGGCGGTAGTTGCATTTCAATGATGATGCGTTGTCGTCGGAGAAAAAAAAAAACTCGGAGGTCCGCGCAAATGTCTCGGATCGGCGCTGGGCCCCCCCTGGCGGCGCCTCCGGCGCCGCCCCCGGCGCACCTTCGCGCGCCAGGGAGGGGGAATCCAGCGCCGACGCGAGAAGCCCGCGCGGACCTCCGAGTTGTTGTGCTCACGTGACTTTTTGTTCCCTTATCTCGGCGAGCACAGTCGGGGCTCTGACCTAAGGAACCCCAAGTAAGGAACGAGGCCCCTCTTTTCCAGAAGGTAAGCTTCGATCCCCGATCGTAAATATGAGGAACACCTGAGGCAAGCTGTGAAACACTGAAGGAACGCGGAGCCCCTCCCCAACCAAAAGGGTTCCTTCTTCAGGGCCCCGACTGCAGGAGAGCGCGCTCGTCTGTGGGGGCTCCAGTCGAGCGGTTCGCCCCGCCGCGCGGCGGCCGGGCTGCTGGGCTCCGCCGCGCGGCGCCGCGCTCCCTCCGCCGCGCTGCCCCGTGCGGGTGCGCGGCCGCGCCCGCGGAGCCCTCGCAGATGCGCGGGCGCCGTGGCGCCCGCGCGAGCCAGTGGAGCGAGCAGCCCATAGTTTGGCATCTGGCGCTAAGCATTTGCTCAAACACGTTATTCAGGAGGGAAAGAAGCACACAGACACAATGAATCGTCGACTCACAGGGAAAGATGGGAAACTATGGGAATTGGGGGCGAGCCAAAAACCAAGAAAATATGTGAAAATATGGGGAATCATTTTATTTGTGTGTATTTATGTGTGTGTGTTTGTGTGTCCTTGGGCCCTTTGAGTTATGGGCAATGAGCGTATCATCAGAGTTAACGACTGTTCCCTGAAGCTAGTTTTTCTGGCTGGCCAGCGGCAAATTAATTGCGCGCGCGCGCCCGAGGACGCTATTCGCCGCGAGCGGGAGGAAGCATGGCAAAACTGGGCACGGGTTCAGTCGGGCCTGTCCTGTTCTTCAGGGGGACTGTTCAAAACTAGTCTGGCACGAAGGCGGGCCTGTCCTTCGACAGGGCCTGTCCTTCTCTAAGTCGGGCCTGTCCTTCCAAGTTGGGCACTCCCAGGGGCGCCAGGGCGCCGTGCATTGCGTCAAGTCGGGCGTGTCCATCTGCAGGGGGGATATTCAAGAATAGTTTAAAAAATAGTCTGGGGATGATTTGTTATACTATTTGTGAGCATTTGGGGGGTATTTTTTGCGTGTTTTGCATTCATCGCCCAAAATCCCCCTGTAGGGGGACACGCCCGACTTCAGTTTTGCAAGGGATCCACGCCCTCGGGGGCGCCTCCGCAGCCTCCCGAGGGCACCCCGAGGGCGTGGATTCCTTGCAAAACACGGCGCCCTAGCGCCCTTGGGC